GAAAGTGTATATAAAAAAGCAAAAAATCCGTCGAATGAAATCTCGCTATTTGGAATCTAAAATCGGCAAAAAAATATGTTTTGAGAGAATATAATGATCAGATGCAAGAAGAAAAATCTCACACACCTGTTAGTAAATAAAAATAGAACCAGAGTTCTTCTTTTTCTTCGAGACCGGCCCATAGAAAATGAGTTTTAGAGATATATCGATAGTCGCAAATCATCACAAAATTAGCGTTTTTTTTTCAATAATCTTCCTTGCAAGTTTGAGACAAATCATCTCGGTTCTTGTGAAAGATATCCAAAATGTTTCAACTGACAAAAAACTGATGACCCCTCTGTTAACCCATTTATGAGTTGATAACTTTTTTATATCTTTGACAGGAGTCGAGAACAATTGGAAATGATAGTTACTATTAGAAGGGCCTTCTATTGCAGGTCTTACGGCATGTCTTTAAGTATTCTATTTTATGGGGTTATTCAGTCAGACGCCCCCCAGCAAAATTGCTGTTTTTTCTGCTTTCTGCATAAGGAAAAAACCAGCAATTTGCTGAATTGCTTCTCACTGAATAACCCCATAAAATAGAATACTTAAAGACATGCCGTAAGACCTGCAATAGAAGGCCCTTCTAATAGTAACTATCATTTCCAATTGTTCTCGACTCCTGTCAAAGATATAAAAAAGTTATCAACTCATAAATGGTTTAACAGAATATCATCAGTTTTTTGTCAGTTGAAACATTTTGTATATCTTTCACAAGAACCGAGATGATTTGTCTCAAACTTGCAAGGAAGATTATTGAAAAAAAAACGCTAATTTTGTGATGATTTGCGACTATCGATATATCTCTAAAACTCATTTTCTATGGTCCGTTCTCGAAGAAAAAGAAGAACTCTGGTTCTATTTTTATTTACTAACAGGTGTTTGAGATTTTTCTTCTTGCATCTGATCATTATATTCTCTCAAAACATATTTTTTTGCCGATTTTAGATTCCAAATAGCGAGATTTCATTCGACGGATTTTTTGCTTTTTTATATACACTTTCAGAGGGAATTGGCAAGGAATGAGCAGAGAATATTCACAGAAAAGAGGAGATGAGGAAATGAAAGAAGAGATGCAAAATTAATTCGAATCGAGTGGTTCAGAAGATTCTTAGAATCGCATGTGATATCGTTTCGATCCGAAATGTCCAAGTTTGATAAGAAGAGGAACAAAGGTGAAAGTGACGAAAATCAATGAGAGATATAAACATGAATAGGAAAAAGGAGAGAAGAGGAAGATTATGGGAGGTTGATATAGTTGACAATGATGACGTGGTAGTCGAGAAGAGTGCGGATGGCGTCCATGAATTCGTCAATGTTCTCGACGGAGAATCCGACGCGAAGTTTGGCACCGACTTCGACGACAACGTTCGATTTGGCTGGGGAGCGGGGGGAGAGACTGCCAAGGGATCTGGAAAATAATACTTTGATAACGAGAATGAAGTTTTTTAAGTTTCAGAAATTGGAAAAAAAATTCGATGTCTACAATTCATGTTTGAAAAGTGAAAACGCAACTATTTTTTAGTGTTTTCTGGCCATTTTGAACATTTTTAGGAGTCTGGGGTTCGACTGTCAAGCTTCCGACCACTTTGGAAGTTTTGGAGGGTGTAAAACAGACCTAGATTGAAAACTTTGCATTCACAGAATTTTTTGAAAATTCCCAGTTT